CTCACGCCTGTAATCCCAGCACTTTGGGAGGCCGAGGCAGGCAGATCACCTGAGGTCAGGAGTTTGAGACCAGCCTGGCCAACATGGCAAAACCCCGTCTCTACTAAAAATAGCAAAAATTAGCCGGGTGTGGTGGCGTGCACCTGTAATCTCAGTTACTCGGGAGGCCGAGGCAGGAGAATCGCTTGAGCCTGGGAGGCGGAGGTTGCAGTGAGCTGAGATTGTGCCACTGCACTCGAGCCTGGGTAACGAGTGAAACTCTGTCTCAAAAAAAAGAAGGAGCTTTGGTGGGGTCCCCAGTATCTGGGAATACGTTTGGCCTGACTGTGGTCACCCACTGCATTCTCGTCTCTCTTCAGAGTTACCTGTTCCTACTGTCCTCGGACTATGAGAGGTCAGAGTGGAGAGAAGCAATTCAGAAACTACAGAAGAAGGGTAAATTCCTGCCCCTTCCGCACTCCCCGAATATGTCTGTGGCAATGATGGGCCTTTTGTATTTCTAAGTATTTCGTGTCCAGTATCACGTCTTTGGCCCTCACAGTCACCCTCAAAGGTGCCGGGGATGGGCATTTAAGGATGTTGTATATTGAGACCCGAAGAATCTAAGTGATTGGCTTAAAGACATGATGATTTAGTCCTGGGACTGGACCCAGGGCCCAGCCTGGGCTTTCTCTTTTTCTCTCTGCCCCTCTTTTTCTCTTTCTCTCTCTCACACACATACACACACACACACACACCACACACACACACACACACACCAGACACACACACACACACACACACCACACACACACCACACAGGCTGGGTGCGGTGGCTCACGCCTGTAATCCCAGTCAGGAGTTTGAGATCAGCCTGGGCAACATGGTGAAACCCCATCTACTAAAAACACAAAAATTAGCCGGGTGTGGTAGCGGGCACCTGTAATCCCAGCTACTCAGGAGGCTGAAGCAGGAGAATCCCTTGAACCCGGGAGGCGGAGGCTGCAGTGAGCTGAGATCACAGCACTGTACTCCAGCGTGGGCAGCAGAGCGAGACTTCTTCTCAAAAAACAAAACCAAAACACATACACCACACACACACACACACGCACACACGCACGCACACACGCAAACCTCTTCAGTCAGATTCTCCTACTCTGACCCCTCTGACAGCACCTATACCCATCCCCCTGTGTCCACAAATGCTTCCCCCTCCCTCGCAGGGACCAACTCTGCCCCAGGGATTAGGCCGTCTTCCTGCAGCCCCCAGGGAAGAGCAGAGGGTCCTAGTGGACCAGTGCCCACGCTCCCTTCTCTCTCGGCTCTCCCTCCAGATCTCCAGGCCTTTGTCCTGAGCTCAGTGGAGCTCCAGGTGCTCACAGGATCCTGTTTCAAGCTTAGGACTGTACACAACATTCCTGTCACCAGCAATAAAGACGGTAAGCTTGGGAACCTGAGGTTGCCCAACTGGCAGGTCCCAGCCCCCAGAGCATGGCCGGCTTCCCATAAGGACCCAGGCAGACACGTAGCTGTAAATGGCTGATCCCTGCTCGGCTGTGCTGAGACTGTTCACTGGCCAGGGACACAGAGCCTGGGTAGGGGCGACTGTCTCCTGAGTTTCCAGATGACCTGGGCTTTTCCTCGGGCCGCTCTGTCTGGCTTGGGAGAACTGGCACCCTGGTGCACTGAGGTTGTGCTGTTAATATATTCATGAGAGAGTGGAGCCGGTGGATAAAACGGTGTATGGGAAATGAGGCTGGAAGTTTCCAGGGACCAGCTCTTGAAAGGCCTCAAATGCCAAGCCAGGGAGTTTGGAGTTCATCCCGTAAGTCCAGGAGTCTGGGGGCGGTTTTGAGCAGTGGGGAGCTGTGATCAGGGCTGGGAACTGACCAGAGTGGGTGGATTCTCGCTGCCTGTGTGCTGGAAAAGGGTTCACTTTGTGAACGGGGTTCTGAAGGCAAGCTTTCCTCGTCATAGGAGGGGCATCTAGGGACCCCTGTGTCCCAAGCGGGGGCAGAGCTGGGCCTTCTCTCTGCCATTAGCAGAATGATTTCTCATATCGGTCAGTTTTCACTGCCAGGATAGGCAGGATTCGGAGGGAGGGACCGTAGCCATGGGGAATGGTACTAAGTCCCTGGGCCAGGATGGTGGGTGTGCTGGACACCCCCAGGCTGAGTGGAGGAGAGAAGGACCCTCCAGCCCTACCCGGGGCAGCTCACATCGGAGGAAGCAGTGGCCTTCGGAAACTTTTTCATCTGGCCACCAGGTGGTGATGTTGGACCAAGACTCAGCTGAGTCTCATCCCCCATCTGCCTCCCGCCGGCCTGGGGTGGAGGCCGAGGGGAGCCGCTGACCACCCTCTGCCCTGGGGGCTCTTCTCTCTTGCAGACGACGAGTCTCCAGGACTCTATGGCTTCCTTCATGTCATCGTCCACTCTGCCAAGGGATTTAAGCAATCAGCCAGTAAGTGCCCTGGCCAGGACGAGGTTGGGTGGGCCATTGTGGATCCCGCACTGCTCTGCTCTGCCCAGGATGGGGGCCTGCCAGCGCGCCTTTAGACGTGGGGTATTCCCCTGAAGGCCAGAAACCAGCTCCTCTTGGCAGGGAAGTCACCCCTGCCCTTTGTCTCCAAAGTCCTCTTTCTCAAGCCCTCCCTGAAGCTGTCTGAAACCTAGGGGCTGGGCGCAGTGGCTCACGCCTGTAATCCCAGCACTTTGGGAGGCCCAGGCGGGCAGATCACCTGAGGTCAGGAGTTCGAGACCATCCAGGCCAACATGGTGAAATTCTGTCTCTACTAAAAATACAGGCCGGGTGCGGTGGCTCAAGCCTGTAATCCCAGCACTTTGGGAGGCCGAGACGGGCGGATCACGAGGTCAGAAGAACAAGACCATCCTGGCTAATTCGGTGAAACCCCGTCTCTACTAAAAAATACAAAAAACTAGCCGGGCGCGGTGGCGGCGCCTGTAGTCCCAGCTACTCGGGAGGCTGAGGCAGGAGAATGGTGTAAACCCAGGAGGCGGAGCTTGCAGTGAGCTGAGATCCGGCCACTGCACTCCAGCCTGGGCGACAGAGCGAGACTCTGTCTCAAAAAAAAAAAAAAAAGCCAGGCGTGGTAGTGGGTAGCTGTAGTCCCAGCTACTTGGGAGGCTGAGGCCGGAGAATCCCTTGAACCCAGGAGGCGGAGGTTGCTGTGAGCTGAGATCGCACCACTGAACTCCAGCCTGGGTGACAGAGTGAGAATCCTTCTCAAAAAAAAAAAAAAAAAAAAAACCGAGGGCAACAAACACGTGGACTCCAACTTCATATCTGCCCATGACAAGCTGTGTGACCTTGGGCAAGTTTCTTAACCTCTCTGGGCCTCCACTAAAAGCCAATCACGCTTGTGAATTTTGACAGGAGAGCAGGCTCGGATATGATGGTGTGTGTGCAGCGTTCCCTGTTGTCTCCTCTATTTGTAGATTCGTCGTACTAAATCTGTTTTTAGTGTTTCACAAAGTACGATTGCACTTCTTTTTTAATTAAAAAAAAATTTTTTTGTAGAGACAGGTTCTTATTATGTTGCCCAGGCTGGTCTTGAACTCCTAGGCTCAACCATCCTCACACCTCAGCCTCCCAAAGTGCAGAGATTATAGGCGTGAGCTGCTGTGCCCAGTCTGGTTGCACTTTTTAAATTTAATTTAATTTTATATTTTCGAGACAGAGTCTCACTCTGACCCCCAGGCTAGAGTGCAATGGTGCGATCTCAGCTCACTGCAACCTCTGCCTCCCGGGTTCAAGCGATTCTCCTGCCTCAGCCTCCTGAGTAGCTGGGATTACAAGTGCCTGCTACCACACCCAGCTAATTTTTGTATTTTTAGTAGAGATGGGGTTTCGCCGTGTTAGCCAGGATGGTCTCGATCTCTTGACCTCATGATCTGCCCACCTTGGCCTCCCGCAGTGCTGGGATAACAGGTGTGAGCCCCTGTGCCCGACCTGGTTGCACTTTTTCTCTACTTGTTACCTGCACGGGAATTTGTGAGTCAGTTAGATGGCTGATAGTTTCTACCTATTTGCCAGAGGAGGTAACTGAATTACAGAGAGGAGAAAAGGCCTAACATCAGAGAGGATCAGAAACCCCGGCTCCTGACTCCCTGCCCACTCCCTGCTCCTCACTGGCAGGTGGGGTCTGCCCTCGCCCCCTCCCTGCAGCGCCCCACACAGAGGTGACACTGTGGGCCCTCTGCCTTTCCCAGGAAGCCTCCCTGAGTTCCTGGGGCAAACTGGGCTCCCTTCCTCGTGCCCCCATCCCGCTCAGGGCAAGCCGGTTATAGCACCTGTCGCACCTGTCGTGCTGTTTTGTCACTTACAATTTGCCTCCCACTGAGTTCTCTGAGGGCGGGAACCGGGTCTCCTTTACCCCGGCATGAACAGGAGCTCAGAAATGCGGAATGAAGTCGTTAATTTACACAGCACCTGCCGTGCACCTGGAGAAGATGAGACCGTGGCCGGCGTGTGGACATACTCACACGGTCAAAGCCCGTGGCGTGTTCAAAGCCTCTCAGTCTCCGGCCCGCTCTGAGCCTCCGGCGTCCTGCCGAGGTCACGGAAACCATCCCCATTTTACACACAAGGACACTGAGGCTCGGAGGGGCTCCAGGTTCCTTCCTGGGGTCAGGCAGTAGCAGGTGGTGCAGCAGAATCCACGTCTTCCGGCACCAGGGCCCGACCTCTTCCCTTTAGGGCAGTTCTCGAAGTCTGGCCAGGACCCCCACACGGCCACTCGGGCTGCTTGTTAACGTGGAAGCTTCCTGAACTCTCTCCAAACCCACAGACCCCCCTTCTGGGGGCTGCTGCTCAGAAGCTTCTGGCTAGTGAGCTCCGTAGGACCGTCCCACCTGTGTGTGGACCAGGCGCCTCCACTCCGTGGCCCCCAGATGCCACCCCTCCTCCCTCTCCTGCTTCCCGCTGGCTGGGAGGTCCTCACCTCAGGGAGCCAGGCCCGTGGCGTGGAGCAGGCGTTCTTCTTCCCAGCCTGGGCAGGTGTCAGAGCCGGGCTGAGCTGCTCCCAAATCTCTCCTTACCCCCAGATTATCCTCACTCCCTTCTCTGCCGCCGCCCCTGACCCACTCACACGTCTGTTCTCACTCAGAGGTGAGGCCCTGTGTCTTCAGCGGTGGTAACCTCAGGACCTCGGGACAGGCAGGCCCAGGGTGTAGGCACCGTGACTGTTCCTGCTCTGCAGACAGGGGACCCGGGGAGGGAAGTGAGGTGGTTTGTGCAGAGCCGGGGTGTGGCCCAGATGGTCTGACTCCGGAACCCTCACTCTGACCCTGTGAGCCGTCCCC